CTGGCAGAGTACACGTTGTAGGCCTGACACACCCGCTTGAGACAACTAACTGCTATTCAATCTATAACAGTGAAAAAAGTTTTTTGTTTTTAAATGCAAGCTATTGTGACACCAGTCAGTGAGTGGTGGCACTGGGCACAGTATCCACTGTGAGCCTGACACACCCGCTTTGAGACAACTAACTGCTATTAAATCTATAACAGTGAAAAACGTTTTGGTTTTAAATGCAAGCTATTGTGACACCAGTGAGTGAGTGGTGGCACTGGCACGGGCAGAGGTCTGCAGAGCACACGCTGAAGGAGGCCTGACACCCGCTTTAAGGACACTGACTGCTATTAGCTTACACTGAAAAACTTTTTTTCTTTGTAAAAGCACGCTTTAGAGACACCAGATATGAGTGGCAAAGTACACGGCAGAGGTCTGCAGAGCACACGCTGAAGGAGGCCTGACACCCGCTTTAAGGACACTGACTGCTATTAGCTTACACTGAAAAACTTTTTTCTTTGTAAAAGCACGCTATAGAGACACCAGATATGAGTGGCAAAGTACACGGGCAAAGGTCTGCAGAGCACACGCTGAAGGAGGCCTGACACCCGCTTTAAGGACACTGACTGCTATTAGCTTACACTGAAAAACTTTTTTTCTTTGTAAAAGCACGCTATAGAGACACCAGATATGAGTGGCAAAGTACACGGGCAGAGGTCTGCAGAGCACACGCTGAAGGAGGCCTGACACCCGCTTTAAGGACACTGACTGCTATTAGCTTACACTGAAAACTTTTTTTCTTTGTAAAAGCACGCTATAGAGACACCAGATATGAGTGGCAAAGTACACGGGCAGAGGTCTGCAGAGCACACGCTGAAGGAGGCCTGACACCCGCTTTAAGGACACTGACTGCTATTAGCTTACACTGAAAAACTTTTTTTTTTGTTGTAAAAGCACACTATAGAGACACCAGATATGAGTGGCAAAGTACACGGGCAGAGGTCTGCAGAGCACACGCTGAAGGAGGCCTGACACCCGCTTTAAGGACACTGACTGCTATTAGCTTACACTGAAAAACTTTTTTTTTTTGTAAAAGCACGCTATAGAGACACCAGATATGAGTGGCAAAGTACACGGGCAGAGGTCTGCAGAGCACACGCTGAAGGAGGCCTGACACCCAGACGCTTGCAGACAACTAACTGCTATTCAATCTATTACAGTGAAAACATTTTTTTTTTCTTTTTAAATTTTTAAGCTTAATCTATTGTGACTCCAGACATGAGTCGTGGCACTGGGCAAATGGACACAGTATCCACTGTGAGCCTGACACAGAAGCTGGCAGGCAACTAACTGCTATTCAATCTATTACAGTGAAAAAAAATGTTTTCTTTTTAAATGTCAAGCATAAGCTATTGTGACACCAGAAATGAGTGGTGGCACTGACTGGGCAAATGGGCACAGTATCCACTGTGAGCCTGACACAGAAGCTGGCAGGCAGGCAGGCAACTGCAATTCCATTACACAAAAAAAAAAAAAAAAGGGCTTTTTGGGGTGCTGTCCTTACAGCAGAGATCAGATGAGTCCTTCAGGACTGTAGTGGACACTGAATACACTAGCCTAGCTATCATTTTATCTAATGAGCAGCAGCTACACTTTCCCTCCTCTCACTAAGCATGCAGCTTCAGAATGAATCTAAAATGGATGCTGGGAGGGAGGTGGGAGGGTCTGGAAGGGAGGGTCTGCTGCTTATTTGCTGGAATGTGTCTGCTGACCGTGAGGCACAGGGTCAAGGTTTGCACAATGATGACGAATAGGGGGCGGATCGAACCACGCATGTGTTCGCCCGCGGTGGCGAACGCGAACACGCTATGTTCGCCAGAAACTATTCGTCAGCGAACAGTTCGGTACATCACTACAAGTGAACAATTGGTAAATTATTTTGTGGTCTACATGGAGGGTTTGTGGATGGGCTCCTTGCTACTAGGCCCCAAATCTATTGTTTGTATGCTCAGTCAATTGAGGTGCAGTACAATACCCCTCCCCTGTACCTACCTCCAGCAGTCGCATTCAGCTGAGTGCACCCCGCCTCCCATTCTCCCCATTGATATTCACAGAGTTTCTTATCTGAAGCACCAGGGTTTACTAGAATAACTGTGGTTTTTAAGTCCCGCTGTGTGGCTGTAAAGAGATTTACTGAATGCAAGTAAGTGTATGGAATTCTAAACACACATTAGTGTATGAGTTTACATTGCCAGGTGAGCTAACACTTTATAGTTGTACGGTAACACTAATGGGGTTATAGGCTGAATGAAAAAAAAAATCCAGTTAAAGTTCTCATATTTACTAAAGCAAAGTACAGTCAGAAGTGGATCAGTCCAAGCGAATCTGTAGCAATCGCATGCGCTCTGAGCCAGGGAAATGGTCCAATCAGATGCTTCTCTATGAAGACGACAGTGATATCGGATGGAGGCGTTGGATCCAGCAAGAGTATCGTTGCCGAATTTCCAAAGTGCCAAACCGAACCGAATTGCAGAAGTCCTGAATTGCCGAATTTCGGAAGTGCCGAACCGAATTGTAGTAGTGCCGAATTTTGGATGTGCCGAAGTGCTTCGGATTTCTGAAAAGTGGCAAAACAGGAGAGAGAGGGAAAATTAAGGGAATGATGACTGGAATCTAACCCTAACCCTACTCCTAAGCCTACTCCTAACCCTATCCCTACTTGGGTTAGGGGTAGGGTTAGAGGAAGGTTGGGGTTAGGGTTAGGAGTAGGGTTAGGGTAGGGTTAGGGTTGAGGTAGAGTTAGAGGTTAGGGTTGGGGTAGGGTGAGGTGTACGGGTGGGGTTGGGGTAGGGTTAGGCGTTGGGTTAGGGGTGGGGGCTAGGAGTAGGTTTAGGGTTAGGGTTGAGGTAGGGTTAGGGTTGGGGTAGGGTTGGGTTAGGGGTAGGGTTGGAGGCTAGGGGTAGGGTTAAGGTTAGGGATAGGGTTAGAAGTAGGGTTAGGGAAGTGCCCAAGTCCCAAATTGATGAATTCCTAAATTGCCAAATTCCCGAATTGCCAAAGTCCCGTATTTTGGAAGTGCCGAACTGAACCAAAATTTTGCCCATGCACATCCCTAGTGGATACCGTTTATTAGTTTTTTTAAATATAAGGGGTGAGGACCTTCTGAATAATGTCTAATAGGGCATAATAAAGTAAATATAGCAATTAGCGGAAAATAATTGGAGCAACCCTTTAAAAATGCAATGTACCATATGTTTCACCTAATTCTAATTTTTTTTAACAGATATTAAGTTTGTATTTCTTACATTTGTTCGCAGAAAATGTATTATTTTTTTCAGTTGCTTTGGTTTTTAATGTTTTATTATTTTAACATAGTCAGAAGATGAGGTTGATAAAACATCTTCAATACCTACATATTTTATGATTGTCTAGGTTAAAGGTAGGGATTTTACGTATTTGTGCCTGCTAAAAGCCATGATGATACTGCACTCCCTGATACTGGACTATTTACCTGTGTCATGAGCAATTTTATGCTATCAATTTAAGCGATAGCTTAGTTTTTATCTTCGGAGGTAACTCCTTTGCTGCTCGGTTTAAGTCAGGTGATGTTTAACTCCTACGAATACAGGTCAGGTTTCAAACAAACTGATCCAAATACTGTCCCCAAGTGTACTTGTTCTGACAACTCAAAGTTTAGAGAATAAGTTATTCAGAGATTGTGTGGATTGCTGTAATTCAAAGTAAATTTAAGGGCAAAATTGATTATGTTAATACAGAGCTGCCCAGAGGGTTCAATGCTATTGTGATCAAACTGCATAAAATACTAATCTCAGCCATAAGACAAAAATAGAACAGATGAAATTAACACAATAATGCACAAAATATAACCCTCTTCAACCACTATCCACTAATCTTTGCTCTCGATTAATATCCTTCATGGCATCCAATTAATGATGCAAAATGTATGGTTTTCATAGTGATTCGTTAATGAACTTAGTGATTGACCTATAGTTTAAATTTTGCAATATTTTTTACTTCTCTGTGGTTTTCACAGTATACAAATTGACTCATAAAACTATAATTTTTCCAAATATGTATTAACAAAAAGATACCGCCTCATTGTAAGTCAATCTCTATGTGTAATAAGCTAATCTCCGACCACATACCCTTCTCTGCATTCAAACCAGCACTCAATTGGGAGCAAGACCTCCATTGTACAATACTCCGGAAACAATGGGAACGTATACTTCAGATGACCAAGGGCCTAATTAAGCACTCAGCCCATATTGAACAACATCGTAAAATGCTGTACCGCTGATACATGGTGCCAATGAGGTTATATAGAATCTTTCCAAAAGCTTTTCCACAGTGCTGGAGATGTGACCTCCTAGAAGGTTACATGTTATACATGTGGTTGCAATGCGCAGTTATAGTCCCATACTGGAAAAAAATCCAGTCCCTAATACGAGCAATAATAGACTACACGCTCCCATATGAACCCTTACAATACCTTCTTCTAGATCTTCCACCAGACTTGCCCAAGTGCAAGAAGAAAATGGTACTCCACATCCTGCTGTCAGTCCAAAAGCTAATAGCAACAGCCTGGAAATCCCCCTTGGCATCAACACTACTAAATGCCCTCGACAAGCAACGTATTTATGAGAAGTGCTTTATGTAGCTCTTTCCCCCATCTAAACCTTGCCAAGTGGCCTGGAATATGTGGGACACATGGAGATTGGATAACCCTTGACTATGTAACCTTGTAAATCTGCTCTATAAACTAAGTCATGCGAAAACATTGTTGGTATACCTGTACTAAACCCATACACAGCATACCTCAACTAAACTCCTGGCTAAGTGGATAACAATAACAAAAAGTGCAATCACCACCATATGTTCTTCCACCTCAAGTACATAGTCCTATAGGTCTCTCCCATGGAGGAATACCCATCAGAGATATAGTTATTAATAACTTGTGTTACACCATCTACAAGCATAAACTATCCACACACATGAACGAAGGTACCCATACGTATCCTCTCCCCAGTAGCGAGATTTCCAAACCAAATCGAATGTCCAATAACTACACACACCTGTAAAACATGATGAATGTCTAAGGCTTACCTCTTGAGATACTCCACCAGGTCCACAACCTTAGAGATTTAGACACATTGTACCCCTGTAAATACCTAATTGATCTGTATTGTTCTGTGCTGCTCAAATGATGTACCTATGCCTATCAGATGCGATCAAATGTGTGCCGTACCGAAATACATTGTTGTTCCCTCCCCCCCCTTTTTTCCTTCTGTACTCTTCTCTCCATACATTTCAAAAAACCAATAAACTTTTTCAAGTTTAAAAAAAATTTAAATAAATTAATAAATAAATATATATATATATATATATATATATATATATAATTTTGTCAGTTCTTCCACTGTTTCCTTGTACTGACTAAAATTCTGATCACTTATTAGCTTTAACAAGAAAAAAATAGTAACATACTCAACATGTCTAACTAATTTGTTATATTAAATTATTTCTTTCTTTGTGAACAGGCCATATTGATACAAATGCATTATCACTATGCTGAAAATAGCTAAGCAATGCATAATACAGTTAATTACTGTGCAATGTATTTGACAATAAATACATGTGGAGTCATAACCATTGTGTCCAACATCCTGATCTAGTGAATGGTTGACTCAGCACTATTCAAATAATTATATTTCTCTGCCAAATGTAATATAATAAAAATCTGTACCAGTCAGTGCCATCTCTGTTTCTATGGCACAGTGCCACCATAATATTTAAGTCTATATAATCATAATGGGTGCGGTAGTCTGGAGACAATTTCTTGTTGTCCCTGGAATGCAACAAAATTATACAACTATTTAACACAATCAGGTGATGCTACGAGCATAAATCGGCTCTATCACCTTGAACTTATCTTTCTTCTATTGGTTCCTCTTGTATTCCCCTTTCAGAATCTGTTCTTTTTTTTTTCCATTTCTGATTCATTTATCTTAAAAATGTAAAACTAATGGGGGCAGAGCCAGCTGTAGAACTGAGCAGACACACTTTCTTGGGCTCTGTGCCTCGGGACCCTTAAACCCGTGATAGTGGCACGAAAACCTGAACCTACCTGCTACAACTTCAGTGATACAGGAAGGTGATATGGTCGAAAAATAAAAAACCAAGAGCGGACAGGAGCGCCAAAAGCCGAGACATTGGAGAACATCTCCAGAGAACACACGCGGCTGCATTGAACAAGATGGTGATGGGAGATGAGGGATCTTTCTACTCCTTGGAGGACATTCCCTTTGACCCGGGAGCAGGGCCATTGCTGAACCAACTACACGGAGCAAAACCCAAGCCACCCTTCAGCAACGAGCCAGCCATAGCATGCTAGCTGAAAGCCATGCTGGCTGAATTGCAGACCAACATTGCTGCCGACATGACCTTCTTCAAAAAAGCCATAGAGGGGGCTGCCTCCTGCCTTACCTTTCTGGAGGCATCTTCAAGTGCCCAAGACTCCAGGATGGCTTCAGTGGAGCAAAAAATCGAAGAGCTCCAAACTCAGCAAATGGCTACCAACAACAGGGTGGATACCCTGGAAGAATAACGGAGATGTTATAACTTAAAGATACATGGCATCCCAGACTCAGTGGGGCTCATGGACTTACCTCACTATGTCCGACGGCTCATCAATGTATTGCTACCGCCAAAACAGGCCAAAGCAGTGAAGCTCGACGGCATGTATCGCCTGCCGAAGGCAACAAAAAACCCCAGCAGCAGCACACGCAGACCTCATTTTTCGCTTCCAATCCTTACAGGAAAAAGCACTCCTTATGGCTGCTACTCTAGGAAAGATCCCTTCGAGTTTTGAAGGCTCCACAATTTCTCTGTATCCAGAACTCACAATGGGCACCATTAGCTGGCGCAAAACATTGCAACCGCTACTGCAACTCCTCCTATCCTTCACATACCTTGGAACCCAATATAAGGCACGGAACTTGGACGAACTTTAAGCACACCTACGCACTATAGGCCTTGCAGAACCTCAGAGGGCAGACAAGTCAAGACTGTCACGCATAGACCCCACAACTGTGACGGAATTTATCCCCCGCATGGCTAAGATCCCGGAGCCTCCAAGAGTCACAACTAGAAGGGACACTGCCTGAATGGACCCCTCCTTACATGTCCTGCAAGAGACTGTCAACACTCCGCGACCAAGACCGCAGCTGCTTAAGCGACAAGTTCATCTCAGAAATCCACAGCCTACGGCTGCTCTTAATGCTACCGGCTTCACATTGCAACATGCCGGGCTAATGCTCATAGGGAAGACCTGCCAAACTTCACAATGAGAACCACAGACATACAGGTTCAGTCTCATATCGTTAATATGAATGTTCGCTTCTCTCTCAATCCACCCTCTTATGTTATATTTTCTGTTATGGTGTAGTTGGTTTAAGAGATGGAACACATTGAGTCCATATGGCTCGAAACCGGCTTCATATCCACCCCAGGGGTTCACTGCTCAGGGAGGTCCCGGCGGCAGTATTGACCTTACTTTTACTACTACCCCACCCCCGGTACTCATTGGTGTTCACTTTAGCTAACATTTCTAATACCGGGAGGGTGCAGCCCAAGGGATTTGGCCAAGAAATATTAATGCCTTGAGGACATCACTTCTTAGCTGAGAGGGCAATAATAGTTTCCCGTTATTTGTCTTATCTTACTCATGTCTCTTTTTTACATTTATATTAGCCTGTGTTTACCTAGCATATTAACTTCTGCAAAAAAAGGTGAAGACAACTTGACATTAATACCAATGCTATGTTTATTGTCGTATCTTGCATTTATGTTATAGTACACTGCATTGTCAACCATCACCTGCAAAAATAAAGAATTTAAAGAAAATATATACAACTACTAGGGACTACTGTGTTCTATGTAGTTTTCCTGTGCTTGAAAACCTTGACAAATGACAAAGGGTGGAGCTTAATGCAATATTGTCACGCTATCAAAAGAAGTGGCGCTTGCCTCAAGCCCCACCTGTTATCAGGATTGTGAAGCGTAGCAAAAATACACACGATAAAGTAGTTTGTCTTGTATTTTAAAGAGAAATAGACCAGAAAAGAAGAACAGATTCTTAAAACAATAGGAGAAAGGTAAGTTTGAGGTGACAGAGCCATTACAAAGAAGACATTTTCTAAATGGAGTATTTCCTTCATTTTGTATTCCGCTGATCTCAGCGTCATATTTCCCTAATGATAATCAACAACAGGTTTTATTTCATTTGAAGAATTGAAAATTTAGCAAACTGAAATTCTTATCTAAAAAAATAAGGTTAAAATAGCCAACCTGAAATTAAAGCTGAATTGAAGAATGTTTCCAATTCAGATTTTAATTTGATGCCGTTCAGAGTTTAGTGGATAATCCTGAAATCCTTCAAATCTAATAAAAGTTGTCAACAAAAGTTGTACTCTATACCATTAGAGAAAGATAACCTTGAGATGAGTGAAATGTGAACTGATATTCACCACCCTGTGACTGTGGTGCACTAACAATTAGCAGAATATCTGAGCTGGAAATTTGTTATCATATACCTTTTTTCTGATGAAAGTTTCACATTCCTTCACCTTAATAAACTCTACTGAAATACTGTGGTGAGGAGTGCAGAGTTGGTAAGTATTAAACATATCTCTGCTACACCTCTTGGTGTTGGTAACGTCAGGGGTCCAGACAGGCATGCATCAGCTCATGCTCACCTGGGCATCTGCTTGGAAAGTGGTGGGTCAATGATTGCATGGATTCTCCGACATTCCATCTATAGTGCTTTCCGGCACAGCATCCTCTGAGCTTACCTTCCCAGTGGGAATATCTGATCATTTTTGATCAGAAGGTAATAGGAAAGCTATACTGCAGACTACTCCTCCGTCTCTAAGCCTCTCTTTTCTACTGTACTACTCAATGATGTAATGTCATATTAATATCATTCCGCATCGTCTACCACCACTGGTCCCGTGTGTGAGTCTGTCTTTTTAACTGTCTTCATCCACTTTCTGGACATTATCTATACAATGCCTGCAAGCAAATGATTAGACAAATCATATATTAATATACTATAAATTTTGCATTGCAATAAATGGCTATAGCATAATATTACTTTGCTTTATTCACCATTATATCAGGTACAAGGAGTACCCTGTCTAATAGGTATTTACTGTATATATTTTAAACTAACTTTTAATATTTTCTATAGATTAACACATTGACATGCGTACATAGATGTGAAGCATTCCCATTCGATGCAGTGGTTGGTAGGGGTTGATACAACATATTCATCAGGAAAGGTCAGTTGATTTATTATAATAGCACTGCACAATACAGCACAATACATAACCCTTCAATAATGGTATGGATCTAACTAAGGTGTCTTGCAAAATGTATTTTGATGTATTTTAATTATATTTCATTTTAAGAATGGATAATTTTACTCAGGCTTCAGGTCCTGGTGAAAAAAAGTGTGGAAACGCACCCAAGATCCACCCCCCACCCAAAAGCATCTTCACCTGTGTACTTCTTAACCCGCCTTTTGTTTCTCATCCCTTTTTTTAAATGTCTTACCCCTTTTAGTGTACCTTATCCCATATTTTTCTCCATTGTGTGTTTTACACCTCCCTTGTGTATCTCTTACAACCCCCCTTTGTGTGTCTTACTCCCCCAACCCCTTTGTGTGTCTCCTCTCCCAGCCCCTTTGTGTGTTTCTGTTTTACCACAAGCCTGTCTATCTCCCCCAATCCCTTTGTGTCTCTTTTTCCTCTTCTCCAGCCCCTCTGTGTCTCTTTCACCCCCAGCCCCTTTGTATTTCTTGCCCCAGGCCCTTCTGTGTGTCGCACCCCCCCCCGCCCCCCACCTCTCTTTGTAGCATAGCCGAGTGGAGCAGACCGCGGTACAGGAGATTCAGTTTCCTGTACTCGGCCAGACTGACAGGAATTGCTCTCTCTGTGAGCACTTCCTTTCAGTCCGGCCGGGTACAGGAAACTGAAGTTCCTGGACGGCAGTGTGTACTGCTTCACTCGGCCATGCTACACAGAGTGACTGGCAGAGGGGAGCTCTGTGCACCCACCTCCTGCCTGTCACTCTGATCTAGCGCCCCCCGGGCTGGAGCGCCCTAAGTCGGCCGCTTGTGCTGCTTTATGGATGCGCCGGCCCTGCCTGCAGGACTACTAACGGGAATTGTGTTCCTGCTAGGGAAAAAGTGCGTGAACTCGAGCCCTGATT